TAGAGACTCTGAACTCATCAACTTGGCTCAATCCGGGCAGCCCATCGGGCCATTGCGCGGAACGCAACGGAGGAGGGCCTCCATCTCCTTCCTTTCTTGCCTGCGACGCAGTACCGCACGGCGGCGCCATGAAAACGCCTATGACTCTGGGCGACCGTAGCCAAGTGAATAGCAACTCTCTGCCCTCAACAGTGGTGAGGTCGAGCTGGATGCATTTAGAGCACGCCTTGGAGACATCAACATCGACCCCAAAAGCACCCTGCACACCGAACCCTTTTAGGCAAGCCGTCACGCGTGCGGTGCCCGCAAATACCTCGACCACGACTGGGTACGCTTGCCATCCAGAGGAACCTGAAGCTGAAGAACCCTCAACGACGCAACTAGTCGACCCCCCTGGCTGTGGGTCACACAGGCCGAACTTGCCGACGAACTGGTTAGCATCTGAATCTGCGCATGCATCACACGGAGAAGGCAACACTGCAGAAGGAAGTGTACTTGGCGGATCACACTGGTCAGTAAGAGCTTCAGGGTCGCTTTCAGACTGACTCGAGCACACCTCAATGGAATCGGGATCCATGCAATCCTGTTGCGAAGGCCAGATCACTTCATCGGGAACGGAGACATCTCCTGGAGCCAACAGGCTTCGCTGCAGACCGGCCCCCACCTCGGGACCACGCAAAATTGGCGGGACACACCGACTCTCGCCCTTTCCGACGACACCTGGCTTTGCAGGCGTGATGGCGACATCCAGCTGAGACGAATCCGATATAGGTCGCTGCGGACTCGATTCCACCTCGGCACAACACAAAATTGGCGAGACACACTGCTGACCCTGACTTACGCAAGGTTCATACGCAGGACTAGTCCCAGGCGTGGCATCAACTGCACTTGCACACGACGCGGCTGTTGCGACGATGACACCAGACTTCGCAGGTGCATCATACACATCCCTTGCACTTGAATCTGACAGGCTTTGCTGCAGACTCACCCCAATCTCGGAGTCAGGCGGCCGACTCTGACACAGCACCCGCACCCCTGCAGGAAGACCTACTGCAGACGCCATGCGTCGCGAAGCTTCAGGGCCCGAGCCTCCAACTACGCCACAGGAGACGCAGCTGTCACTGGCTCCCCCTTCGAGCTTCTTCTCAGCCCCTAACCATCACTTGTGCTCCTTGAGCGGATGCGCACCAAAGCATTTTGCGCATACATGGGCACGCTTACAATCCTTGGCAGTACACTTGTTGAGGCTGTAGCCAAAGCAAATCTCAGATCCATCCGGGGTTGTGCCCACTGCTCCGGCCGCGACAAATTCCTTGGGGAGACGAGGCTCTCTGCCGGCGCCTTTTCCACCGCCAGGCTTCAAGAACTTCTGCTTGCCATGACCAGTATGATTGTCCACATGCTGTCTCTTCTTGTCACTTCCTGAGCCTCTTCCCGAACGCTTGGACGGGGCGTCCTTGGCAAGGCGTGGCTGCAGAGTGAACGACACCTCGTAAGATTCCAGAACCTTTGCCAGCTCCTCGTCAAGGGGGTAGGTGCCGTCGGGACGCTTGCGCGGACTGATTCCCATCTGGATAAGGCGCACCCAGCACTGCCGGTCGGCCTCGGCGAGCTGCGATACGGAGCACCTTGCCATGCCTGGCGGCGGGTCACGCGCAAGGTGACCAAACAGTTTGCAAACATACTTCTCATAGCTGCCCCAGCTGCACGACTGAGCAAACACCAAGGCCAGGCCGCGACGCCGGAGCGCGTCTTGGAGCTGCAAAGCGCTCGACGCGGGCTGTTCCAGCCCCGCACTCTCCTCTTTAACAACTAATCGCGACGCTTCCAATTCCACGATCTTAGTTGGCGTCTTGACATTCATGACCTCGTGGAGCCGCGACACACACTTCTCGGGCGGGATGAACTGGATCTGGTTCTCTTGTTCCATTTTGGCAGCCAAGTCAAGAAGCGCGTGGCCGGGCTCGAGCGACTCACTGACATGGAGCCCCACCAGCCTGGCCTTGAGAATTTCCATTCGACGTTGTCTCTCCGCCGCTGGGACTGGCTTGGCCGTCTGCCGGTCCGGGTGGGTCACCTGCTCTTTTAACTCGGCAAGAATCAAGGTCTGCCCTTCAAAGATGAGACGCTTGAGCGCAGAATGCTCCCCCACCGTCGCATGCCCGAAGTTGGACTCTAACCAAGACGCCAATGTGGCTTCGGGTAAAGGCTGCCCAGGTTGACCCACCGAGTACCCGAGACGCGCCAAAGACTTAAGGTCGAGCCGGTTCAAGGCATTGATGGTCGTCGGGGTCAGGCCCACCTCAGCGCAGCGCTGGTTGAAGTGGTGCTCACTCTCGATAAGGCTGGACATGGCAAGGCAAACTTCCGACAAGGCTTCTGACACACCAAAGACAGCTTGAGCACGCGAACTAGCAGAATCGGGCAACTCACAAGCAGACGCGCAGACCTACCCGGCCCTAACCTATGCACAGACGCGCTCTCTCAGGCTCGATTAACAACACGACAGTCCAACTCAGATCACATGCATCCTGACTTCTCTTAGCAGACATGTCAGCGCGCACAAGAAAAATCTACAACATCTCAGCGCAAGCGCTCGCATGACAGCTCAGCCAAAACTTTCTGAGCTGAGACCTTCTCCCTGAATCTCCTGTCACATAACAGAAGAAGAGCACAAATAGTGCCGCGCACTCTGTGCACCTGAGCTTCTCCACTCCTGCACAGAGGCACCCACTTCATGGGATTTGCTTTTGCAACTGCTCCTTTCGTTCACGCGTTCTTTGCGCATGTGTTGCACACAGGACCCCGCACATCTGCGTCTTCAGCAGGCCGGAACATCCTAGACACAGATCGCCCACACGCAAAGATCTGCTCCTCATCAGGCGTGGCTTTCTGGCCATTCACCAGATGCAGCATCTTGGACCTGCGATGCACCCACCAAACCTGGGCGTCTGCATTCACTGGCGCGCGCCCACGCAAGCGCTGGGCCTTAGCTGGCGGAGGCTGATCCTCTTCATCACTGCTGCTGCAGCCATCGTCGGACGAGGAAGAAGAGGAGTCGTCTTGCTCGCTGGCTCCACACGCGGGGCTCAACGAAAATGGCTCCTCCGGCTCGCTAGCTTCACCTTCCTCCAACTCTGCTGCTGCAGATTGCACACTCTCCTCGTCCTTGCGCTGGTTCTCCAACACCTCAGCAACGGGGGACGGTGGCCGAGGCGGAAACCTGAAGTATCTAGACCTAGCTTCATCGGGTCGGAAATCTCCACCGGCTATGGCTTCAATAATGCGCTGCAGCTCGCGCGTGGGACCGACACACATGTCTCTAGCGTACACGGCATCAGCAGTGGAAGCGCACTTGCAATGTCTTCCCAGCACCGTCTGCGTGCGATCTGACACACCGTATTTGTTGACCCAACTGAGGCAAGTAGCTTTCAAGGAGTGAGAAGAGACGCCCCGTTCGCCCGCTACTGGCGCTGGTAAACCAAGGAACTGCCGTAGGAAAGCAGTCACCTCACCAGACTCAATTGCCCGGCACGAGAACTCCTCGCCTCCACTGTCACGCGGCGCAGGCAGGACTGGCCCGTCAATAGCACCGTCAACAGGCAAGCTCAACCTCTGAAACACATCAACGAGCAAATGCATCCACGGCTTTCCGTGGACGCCAATGGCCGGCACAAGGATGGGCAAAAACTTGCTCTTCTTTTGTGCTGATTTGGCACCTTTATGCTTTCTAGTCAGGATTTCGAGGAACCCACCATACTTGTCATGATCATGCTTGATGGACGAAATCTGCTCGAGGTCAGAATGTCTTGCTCTTCCGTATAAGGCAATCAAGACGTAAGCACACATCGCCCTGTCGACGAGGTGACGAGACACATCTGCTAAACCTTGATGCAGCTGCAGCACCTGATGTACTGACAGCGGTAGTGCTTGTTTGAGGGCTTCCTTTCCCGCAAACATTTGCTGCGCTACCCCTTTCACGCGCTTACTATCAACAACCAAAGCCAAATTAAACCCCAGGACAAAATGGGCAAACCTGGCCGAGCTTAGAAAGGCCTCGGCTTTCGTCGGCGCTGCTTCCATATCCTTTAGCTGCGAAACATAACGCCACGCATTGGCCTCAGAGAGCGGTCCGCTGTAGTCAGGCAGCACGGCATCCCGCCAGCCACGCTGAGAAGCTACGAGCACGCTTCAGTACGGTCAGTGGAGACTTAACCCCAAGGCAAGCCTCGACATTTGCAAAGACAGCTTCTCTGAACGCAGCCTGCTCTGGAACATCTTTTGCTGCCAAGCCTGGCTCACACTCACGCCTGAACCTGACACACACGTCTGTCCAAATGTTGACTGCCTTTAACCAATCCCGCTGGCGCTTCTGTTGCGGGGTGACGCCTTGCCGCGATTTGACTACTTTGGCAAAAACTGGACCTTGTGCAGTTACAAAATTAACGTCCACTGCAGGCTTAATGTTTTCGATCTGAGGCTGCACTGCCGGCACATTTTGCACATTGCCGGGCCAACATGCTGCAAGGCTCGGCTGGAGAGTTGCAGACAGATCGCTGAAGATTGCGCTTACAGAAGGGGACTCCCAAGGCATTTGGATGGAGGTAAGCTTGCCCATCCTGCTGAAGGCATCAATTGCTGCATGCTGTACGATGCCTGGCTGAACTCTCGGCGGCGGTGAGCTTTCAGGCTCAAGATCGTCCAAGCGGTCGAACACTCTGATGCCTTTGTCACCTTCTGCACTTTCCGGTTCTGTATCCGCGTCGCTCTCCACTGGAGCGCTCTCCCCTGGACCCCCTTCTTGACCGTCAGAGGCTGCCGAAGAGCCTGCAGTAATGCCGGCCATGGCACCACTTGCGCATGCACTTTGCAAAATTGAACTTGAGATCTCGCCCGACGGGCGGAGCACAGCCATGCGCCAGCTACGGCGAGAGCACACTAAAAGCAAAATGCTAAAAGGGCGCTACCTCCTCTACTTGATTCTACTCGCAAGCTGTGATGTCACAATCTTGCAGAGAACGGCACATCAACACGTGCAACTGCACTACCCCAACACAAGCAGGCGCTCACAGACGCGTGGAACTTGCGAGTTGTTTAGGCTCGTCCAAGTGTGGACTCACTGTTAGCCCAAGTGAAAGAGTTATCATGTCACTGGCTCCATGACGACTCTCTTGATATGTGTGCGAGAAGATTGGGAGACAGTGCATGAGTGCATGACAGTGTGTGGATGCTTGGTAACGAAATTGCTCAGAAGTGTAGGGCCTATAGGAGCCTACAGTGCCTTGGCCGGTTGCAGGTGTCGGAGTTGTGCTCCATGTCAGCAGGAGACGACGTATTCTGTGCGCCGCAGGAGTCGCTGCTGCTGACTTGCGCTGGGCACGGCAACCCCGTCGGACCGCCAACAAATCTGTAAAAGGCTTGCAGAGTGTCGTCATGGCGCGTAGCAGAATGATAACTCCTTCACATGAGACGCAGTGTGAGTCCACCTGTGTGGACGGGCCGAAGTAAGTGGCTTGTGTGCCGTGCGTTGTACTGCTCAAGTCAGAAAGGCAGGTAGCATGCTCGCGTGAGCTAGTTGCCACTGATTCACGATAACTCGCAGAGGCTTCTTGTCTTAAGGGAGAATTTTCTTGTGGCCGTAGTCGGCGAATGGTTGCGCTCCGTGCGCGGCCGAACGCCCCAGAGGAAAAGCCAGGGAGGAGGTGCTCCAAAATGTCAAGCCTCTTGGAGAGCTGGACGAGGCTGTCCTCAAGAAGACTCTAGAAGAGAGAGACGCCGGGTGGCTGGAGGGCCCCATCCCTCTGTCAGAGCTCGAGGATCACGCAGTCATTAGCCGAAGGTTTGGCATAATGCAAGGCTCCAAAATGCGAGTGATCGATGATTACTCCATGAGTGGCGTGAATGCCACAGTGCAGGTCTCAGAGTCACCCAAGCCGCACGCCACGGGCCAAGTAGTGGCGTTGTGCCTAAGTCTGCTGGCGAACTGTGGCCATCAAACCATGATGGGCCGCACCTTCGATTTGAAGAGCGCCTACCGGCAATTGTGCATAGCGCCGCAGTCGTCGTGGGCGAGCTACGTAGCTTGCTGGGATGCATCAGCCAAGGCTCCGAAAGTCTTCCGTGTGCGTGCTTTGCCCTTCGGCGCCAGTCGGGCTGTTTATGCGTTTCTGCGTGTTGAGTCACCTGCAGTGTTGACATTTTCTCGTTTGATTGACTCTGCTTCCGATGCGAACACGCATGTTGCACATGTTGTGCTGCGCGTTCAAGCGTTGACCCTCAAGCTTTCCAGGTGGTCAACCAATCTGCTTGTTTGTTCAGAATTTTGCCCCGCCCTCCCGCCGCAAAGAGGGTTGGGTTGGTGTTCCCGGTTCGGTTGGGTTTGGCAGAACACCGGCCCTCTCTCCATACCTACTCCTCCATATGACCATATGTGGTACGTTGTATGTGTGCGTGCTTGAGTTGAGTTTGAACACACTGTCGGTTTGTTCACGCTGTAGCCTTGACTGCAGAACCGCCCACCCACCCTGGTTGCTGAGCAGCTGGGTAGTGGGCCGGGGCTTAGATGGGCCAGTTGGCGTGTAGAGCACTTGTGCGCGTAGACACGTAAGAGCACAGAAGCGGCGCAGTGCTGCAGCGAGGGGCTGCTCGAAGCTGTGAGATAGGCTGAGCTGAGCCCCGAGCCTTATTGGCACTCCTTGCGAAACACCCGCCCGCCCTGCGCAAACTTTGAAGGCAGGTGCGAGCAGGACGAAGTCAACCCAAAAAGAGAGTCGTTTGCATCTCTGATTCTCTGCGTCGTGTAGTGCTCGTGTGTCTCTTGACTGTTGCCTGGCGTTTCCTGCAAAAGGTCGGCGCGCCCCTCCCCCTTGTGTTGTGCATACGGGGTTCTGGAGAGTAGGTTTGGCGCAGAGGCGGGCGTTGCAATACGACTTGCCTGCTTGTGCAGTGTTCACTGGCGAGTCAGCGTCGCTCGTTTTCCTTGCATTGATGCCTAGGTGTCGACCGCAGAGCCAGACCTCAGGACAGATTCATTCAGCTACTCATTTTCATTGCTGGATGTTGCGGTGTCCGCTTGCTTTGCTTGGTGTGCTGCTTGCATCTGGAAGCAGTGCAGCTGCCACAGCTGCTGCTGCTGCTGCTGCTGCTGCTGCTGCTGCTGCTGCTGCTGCTGCTGCTGCTGCTGCTGCTGCCACTCCTGCCAACTTCTTGCTTGTCAGCGGCATGACTGCGGAGGATGAGACTTGCTTGGTGGGTGCTGGGGTGAGCGTGTGGCTCGACTCGTGCGAAAGCGCCGTGACCAGCCTGAGCGGGAAGGAGATCTGGAGCTTGGCGACAGACGGAAGCCTTGTCCACACAGCCTCCAAAAAGTGTCTCAGCGCACGTGGCCAGACAAATGCAGACGCGACGATGGAGCTGGTGCAGTGTGATGCGGCTGGCGGCGTGCCCAAGTGGGAGCTGCAGGCCAATGGCCAAATCAAAATGGCGCAGAGCAACATGTGTGTGAGCCATCTTGGAGGGTCCAACTCAGTGGTGAACGCAGCAGCAGCAGCGTCAGCCTCGGCAAGCTCGACGTTGGATCCCCGTCACGGGGCGGCCCTTGCCATTGACGGTGTGGCGTCCACATACTGGGTCTCGAAGATGGGCGAGGCGGGTGACGTCACCTTGCTCTTGGACTTTGGAGAGCCCCTGCGTGGATCTGTGCTGGATATCGACTTCGAGTTTGTCCCTTCCGGTTTTGCAGTGCGCGTGGCAGGAGCAAGGCCGGGGGAGTGGCTACAGGTGTTTGCTACGGACGCGAATGTTCTGAAACATGTGAAGATCCCACTGGATGCGGCCAAACCCACGTCAGCAGTCAAGCTTGTCATGCAGACTGCTCACCCAACGCTGGGCGTCCTGGGCGGCCACAAGCTTTTCGGCGTCCGCTCCATCAAAGTCCTGACGCGCTTGCTGCAGCCCGTGCTGGCGCCGTGTGCAGCAGCAGCGAAAAGCCCGGATGCCAGGGACAAGTTCTTTGCAGTAGCGGTGAATGCTTTCGACCCGAAGGCTTCTGCGACGTTGGCGGCCGAGTTGCCTGCGCTGGAGTCTGCAGACGCGGCCTTGTCGGCCGTTGTGGTGGAGCTTGCTGGAGCATTGCCTGCCATGAGCTCCTGCAAGCCAGCAGGGTCTGTCTTGCTCCAGGCCAATGGTACCATGGCCAAAACTCGGCAAACTCGGCAGGCCAGGCGCTCCGGCTTGGATCTAGTACTTGATGTGACCCAGGAAACTGCCCTGCTGCAAGAAGCAAGGGCGACTGTGATCGCAGCGCGTGGTTTGCTGGTGTAGAATTGTAGAAGAGAGTTAAAGTCTGGGCCTTGCAAAGCCGTAGCCTTCGGCTTGTGATGTTCCGTGTTCCCAAGAGATCTGTGCTGTCTCTCGGCGCTGCACGCGTGCGCGTGCAGCCGCTCAGCAAGTGCATGAAGCGAACGCTCACACGCACGTGTGCAGCCTACAAGAAGACAATAGTGTGTGCAGGTGCAATGAAGCTACGGTCGGGTCGCGCTGGGGTAGGTGGGCTAATGGCCAGCGCGTGCCCTCGGCTGCGCGTAAACGACTGCACGCTTGGCCTGTTTGAGTCTTAGCTGCATGAAACTGTCTTGTGATTGTTCCTGACTCGATTCGTCAGTTTGCGCCCGCCCGCCCGCCCGGGTTGCGGCTGCCGCCGAAAGCGAAGATTGGATTCCAGTGCGGCTTTCTCCTGGGAGCCTAGCCCAGAAGCAGTGGTGTGCCCGAGTGCGGGGGGAGCTGAACCCCGGCACCTTGCGTGTGCGACATGCTTGGCATCCAAACATTTCCTTACACGACTTCCCAGGGTTGAAGCGCAACAGGAGTTACTGTGTCACAGTGTTTGTGGGCTCTTGTTTGAGATTTGTGTGGCCCAAGACAAAGATTTCACAAGTCACAGACTCCAACATATCCCACGCTTTCTGCTGCTTGCTGTGATGTCACTTCTTCGTGCTTCTGCCGTGGGGTGTCTCCTTGCTGCCCAGCTGGTGCAGCCACAAAGCAGCCTGTTCTAGGTTGTGACGGTTGTGGCAATCTTGTTTGTAAGAGGTCTTGAGCAGGGCGGAGCGCGCCAACGTCCGTGTCATGGCGGCGGGTCGTCGTGCGAACTCTGGACTTCTGGAAGTGCAGACGAGCTTTGGATCGTACGGGTCCGTGTGCGAGATGAATGCCGAGGCAGCCAACGTGGCATGCAAACAGATCGGCTATGATTTTGGCGTCTTGAGCCCATCGCCGTGTGCAAAGTATGGAGGTTTGAGTTGGTGTGGCGCAGCGGGGTCTCCCGTTGCCATGAAGAACTTGAAATGTTCGGGAGCAGAGCTCAGTGTCGATGAGTGCAGCTCAGAAGAAGTAGATGACTCGTGCCTGAGCCACAGCAGCGATGCCATTGTTTTCTGTGGCATGACCTCCTTGAAGGCGTTTTCAGACGGCGAGCTGCGCCTGGTTGGCGGTGCCGGTGCTTCGCAGTGCAGGAGTGCCCGCAGTGCACGTAGTGACATGTTACGAGCGCTTGCACCTTTGCGAGTTTGGTTCGAAGCTCGTTGTAGAGAGCTCGTAGCAGATGCAAACTCTTTGCAAGTTTGTCGGAAAGCTTTCCCCCGCGCTCATGGTGCGAAACGCTTCGGTGGCTGATGCTGTCGACTCCACTCTGGCGCCTGGCTGCACTTGGGGCGGCGACGTCCCAGCCGACATGTTGCTGCGCTTGGTCACGGGCACGAGCTGAACGGAAGTGAAGGATAGCCCGCAATGAAGAGGACGTTATGTGGGGAAGCAAGATTGGCAAGCGTGACAAGTGATTTCGTTTGCGTGCGTGTGATTTTTTGTCCCGTCTCTGTTGTTTAGTGGCGTGGCTTGCTTGTTGGGGTTGATTGCTGA